GCGCTCACCGCCCTGCTGTCCGCGCGCCCCCCGTCCCCGTGGCCTCAGGGTTGTCTCACCGATTTTGCCCCTAGTCCCCACGCTGCCGCTCTCTTCTGGACCTGAGGTCCCGAAGATGCTCCTGGAAGCTGGAGAAACTTCGGGATAAAGTTTCGGGATAAAGGAGGCCGGGGCCTTGCCCTCGGCCCAGCGCGGCACGCCTGTCGGGGGCAGGCCCCTCGTTTCGGAGACCCAAGCACACCGGGGGCATTGAATGATCCACCGCGGACCCCACTTCTCGGGTCTGGACCACTACCTAACCTGGGGGACTAGCACCTGAGCCGTGCTTGTGCTCCTGTGCTCCGTCCTTGACGCCCAGGGTCGTCTCCTGCGAGGCACCTTCCAGCATTGTCTCTTGTGTTTTGTACAGTAATTATTATTAATAATAATAATAATAGGAATTTTTAAGCACGGGAGCGCAAAACTACACATGATTTCTAAGAAAAGCCCAACAATAAAATTTGTAAGACTTAGGGGTTCTCCAGATGGTGGTGGATAATCTTAAATGCAAAGTGCTCAGAGTTTTCTTTGTAGTAATGCTGGTTTTGGAGCAACTTTTAATTAAGAAGGCTTGTGTAAGTAAAATGCACACATGCACACACGACGCAGCAATAATTTGTTTTTACTCTGCATGTTACAGTATGAGACATATTACACTGTGACTCCTACTTTTAAAACCTAGATTTTTAGTAATCACCACTGTGCTCCTCGCTGTTTTGGGGTGGGGTGGGGGAAATAAAGTCATTGCCCTGATCATAGCTTTTTTGGGGGAGTCTGCATCCCCTGAGACACTTCCAGAGAAGCCATGTCTAGGTGTATCTAGGTCTGTGGGACAGTTACTGTCATCTTGATACTGCTGGCCTGGAAAACAACAGAGCCTGAAGACAGGAGGCCGACTGTAAAAGATTTGAGAGGCAAAGGGCAAATACAAGTAAACACAACCACAACACTTGCATAGAACTGTCAGTCTTCCGATTCATAGGGAAGTATCCAGGCTATTTTGCTCTGCTGGCAAATTTGCTGGTACAACTAGGTGGTCAGCTCAGACCCAAACACAGGATCCTGATGCTTATGCTTCAAACAAGGGTTGTATCTTAACTTGGGTAGTCTGTTTCTTTTCTTCATTATAAATAACATCTGAACCCACCGATTTGGCTCTGGAAAATACAGCACTTCCTATCTTAAAGTGTGGAAATATGAAGCTACTTCAGTGATTTTAAACTTGATGTAGGCAAAAAGGATTGTTGAAGTCTCACAAGTTGACAAATGACATTCAATTACTAATTGAACACCTTTGAAAAATACTAACATGTTCGAATTGAAAAGATTTTATGTCTATATAGAACAGATAATATTCTGCTAACAAGTTTAATAACCTGTTAACAAGAAGTTTTTCCTTATCTAAATGTTTCAGATAGTTTGTCATTTCCTACATTACTCAAACCCTCTCATCCTTGCTCTCAAAACACAGTATTTGGAGTGACTTTACACCTGAAATCAGTGATAGGCATACACTGTTGCATTATATGAAGAATGAATTAATTTCTCTTACTAGACTTTATGCCCTGGAAGACAGGTACATTATCTCAAGAGCAGAGTGTCTGACACACATAGTGATATTGTATGTGTTAGGTTAATAGGTCTCTGAGGTGAGACCTCAACAGGTTTCTAAAAAGGTGGAAGTTAGTGTATGATTAGTATAGAGAGGACTTTACCTTTTCAAATTCAGCTAGGAACTGGAAAGCAGACATGTTAAAATTAGCAAAGGTTTATGCTTGAGTAGCATACAGTCCCACAACAGTGAGATTTTTGTGGATTCTCAGAGGAGATTTGTAAAGAGAAACGGAGCAAGATTTTAAAACTGGTTTTAAGTCTCATTTTTATAAATAACTGGATAATGATTTTGAAATTGTATAATTAACTTTTTCCAAAAGGAGGCAAACACTTCCAAACTTCACTGAAACCGTTTTAAAGTTATTGTTTCATTCCCAGTCAAATGCACAGTTTTATTTGACAAGCACATGATATACCTATAAATGCAGCTGGTACTTTAAGAAGAAGAACCTTAGTTTGTAACATTTTGAGTAGTTCTAAAGGGTTATATGTGATCAAGGGACATTCATTTAACTATGTAAATCAGAGAAGCATTTTGTTTTAAAGTTAATAACTTGAAAATGGGTCAGAAAAATATAGAGTGGCTTTCTTTTTAATTACAGTAATCTCTTCATTATATTTGATATTTAAATTGCCAGCAATTTCACTTATGGGTATATTAGATCATCATGTTACATTTCTTCACTGAACTTTTGTGACATTAAGGAAAAATACTAGATAAAAAGATGAAACTTCATCAATACATCTAACTTCAGATATGAAATAGGCATTCTATACTGTGTTTCATTAGGACAATAAATTCTATTCATGGGCATTGTTCATGACATACACAAGCTTCCTAGTTTAAAACACCCTTTCTGCTTAACCCATGCATAGGTTACTGAGCTCTTAACCACGCTAACGTAGAAAATACATAGCAAAGCACCTACTAAAAGTGGAAGGTGAGGCAATTCAGGAGCTTGAATTGTTTAAAGACTGAAGCCTTTTAGTTTTAAGGGATTTTTATTCTTCAAAATGCAACAGGGAACTGAAAAAATGAAACTAGGACATTTCACTAGCAATTTGAATTATTCACTTGGGGTTTCTTCTACATCTCCACGTGGGAACAGACACTTCTACCTGAAAGGCCCTGCTGGGAAGAATGTAGAAGACCACCACGATGCTTAGGCTTTAGAGTTAAGGGGAAGGATGGTGTGGCTGCCTTCTGACTGCAAGAAGCAAAGGCTTGTACCTGCCCTGGAGTGTGAAGCGGAAGACTCCACACACTTCTTTCTTTCTTAGGTAGGTAGTCCATTTCCCAACCCGCTGGGAATTCCACAGGATACCAAGACTCCTTCAGAGATCTTAAAAGTGATTGTGGAAGATTCCAAATGCGAAAGCCGGAGATGTGTGTGCTTCCTCCTGGTGAAGAGGAGACATCAAGGATTTCCGGTCTGCCACCATTAGGCAGCAGCTGCGGCTCGCTGCCCACTTGACACCTGGTGAAAATGGTAGTTTCAGAGAGAGAGAAATATTTAAAGTGACACCTGTCACTGAAACATTTGGGGCAGAATTTTCAAGGGGTGGCTAGAACTAATGATGGTAAAAAGAAAGGCCGAGGAACTCAGTTATGTAAGGTAGTCTTTCCAGATAAAGATTCTTTTGGAAATGTCACTCAGCTGCAAAATGACTCCAGAATTGAAAAGAAATTCTTTTTAAAAATCATACCGAAGTAAGGAGACAGCAAACCTGGTAGTAATGAGAAAACCTGCAAAATAGGATATTTATCATTTTTCCCCTTCTCTGTTTTCCATAGACTCTCTAGGTGTCCTTATTGCTGTTCATATATTGTAATTTAGTGTATGCACACAGTTGCTGTGACCCTCCAGGAATTCAGAAATCAGAAATGTCAGGTAGGTAAGAGAGCCAGGAGCAGGAACCCAGAGTAACTTGAGGTTGTGCAGCCACTCTTGTATTGATCTGATGACTCGGATCTATCGGAACTGACATCAGGTCCCGGAGAGGCCATCCCCCAGCTCCCGGCCCGGGGTGCAGTCTGGGACCCTGCGGCTCTCGGTGCGGTGCGTAGGTGCCCACAGCGTCCTCCAGGCGAACACCTGCGTCCCGCACCCAGTCAACAGGGAAGTGACACCAGACGGAACGCGACGTGAGTCCCCGGGTACCAGGGCTTCTATCTGCCGTCCTTCTATCGTGGTTGTGACGTCACGCCCGGGCCCTACCGTTGCCAAGGGACGGCTGCGTTCCGGTTCCGGTCGGTTGCCCCGGAGCGTGGGTACACAGAGCAGTCCGCCGGGGGCCAAGGGGTCGCGGCGAGTGGACCCCACGCACGGCGCCATGAGCCAGCGCCAGGTGCTGCAAGGTAGGGAGCTGTGGGCGGGCGCCCCGACGGGATGGCGCTGGGGTGGGAGTTTGGGGGAGGGGGGCGGCTGCTCCACCTTGCCTCTCTCCCCAGTGTTCGAGCTGTACCAGAATGCCCGGACCCGGTTCGTACAGATGGTGGCAGAGCAGGCGACCAGACCTCAGAACATCGAGACACTGCAGAATGCGGGTGAGCTTGAACCACGCCCGGCACCCTCGCCCCACACCTCATCCTTCAACCATCCTCGTCCTTCCACCAACCAGCGCCAGCCTCACCTGGTCCCCGGTCGCCCGCCTTCTCGCACCGCTGTCAGCCTCACTTCCTCGCCCCCTTACCCGCTCAACTTTTGGGAGTCTTGGGAATGGGCTTAAGTGAGGCGACGATCCTCCGGACCCTCTCCTCTATGAGGGAACTTGTGGGGTGAAGCAGAGGATGGAGGAGGCCTGGGATCATTTCCGTCTTCGTTACAATCGCCAGCCATATGAACTGCCTAGAAGTCATTTTCCCGGATAGGAATCTACCCTAACCAGACCCATTTCTCCCGATGCCCTTTCTTGCCACTCTTTGATCACATTCCCTTCCTAGAAGCGGAGAAATTTCAGGCTGCTTTCGCAGTTCTCCTCTTGACATTAATGGAAGAGGAGCAGTGTAGTATGTTTGAATCTTTCCCACAGAAAGATAAGTAATAGGTAAGGACCTGGCTTTGTGAACTCTACGAAGCAACCCTTTTCACCCTTTAGTCTGAAGTCTGAAAGGGAGAAGGGGGAGAGAGGAGAGTTCATTTTTGGCGAAACCAGTCCTCTGCTGTTTGTGTGCTGTGTGTGTGTGTGTGTGTGTGTGTGTGTGTGTGTGTGTGTGTGTTCTGAAGAGACAGTTATTCGCCCCTAATGGGGCACCAAGGACAGACCACAGAAAGTATTCCAACCAAGACGAACTTGAAGAACCAGTGAGTTTTTACCAAGTTTTATGGTAAACCATAAAGAAGAACCAGTGAGTTTTTACCAAGTGCAAGCAGCTTACCAGCAGCTACACCACTGGAAATCCGTTTCTTCCTCAGCGACCTTAACTACTTAGACGTCCTGGAGAGGGTTTGGATTTCATAAACGCCTCCTTCTGCAGTCTTTATCTTTACCCACCCCGCGTGTGTGTGTGTGTGTGTGTGTGTGTGTGTGTGTGTGTGTGTGTGAGAGAGAGAGAGAGAGAGAGAGAGAGAGAGAGAGAGAGTGAGAGAGAGGAAAGGTATTGAGGGTGTTCCTGCTCTAACCACACAACTGCTGAGAGTTCAAGAGGGCACCAGCCTTGCTCAGAGGACTACTTTCCACAGGATCCACTGACTGAACTGTAATCTAGATATTGCTCATTAGGTGGCAAGAAATCCCTGGCTTATAAGATGAGATCTTTAGCACTAGTTTAAATGAACACATCATTAAAAATAAATTAAGAACGCGTTGTCATGGCCACAATATTTAGACAGTGTCTGCTCTGCGTTTCTTTGAGGAAACACCTTCTATTTAGCAAATACTTTCTCTCCTCACTGGAGTTTGCTGTTTGTGGTTGAGACAGGGAGCCATTCATAATGAAGAAAATATGTTTTTAAAAAGTCTTTAAGTATCTGTGCGATAACTGTAGATGCAAGTGCAGTTGCAGGGAATAATGCAGTCCTCTTGTCTAGCTCCCTTCTGCGACAGCTTTTCAGAACTTCAGCACATGAATGCTGACACAGAAATTCCTTGATCTTAGTTCACTCTTCCCAGTTTTGTTTCTCTTGTTTTACTCTATAAACCTTTGCCTCAAGAACGTCTGCCATAGTCTGAATACTTTGACTATTACAAAGACCTTTTGTATTTTCCTTTAAAGGGAAATGCCAAGGTGCCTTGGTGGTAGTCAGAGAGCAGCTTAGGAGGTCAGGTCTCTCCTTCCATCTCATGGGTCCTGGGTATTGATCCCAGGTTGTGAGGCTTGTCATCTAGGATCTTCAGCCACTGAACCATCATGCCAGCCCTCAAACTGTCCTTTTACAATCGCTTCCTGCTGTCCCTAACCCCTGGGCAACCACTGAACTAATATTTGTTTCAAAAATGTTGCCATTGTAGAACTCATTTTGTTCTATAATTGTGTGATGTAGATTTATTTTCTTTATTCTATGTACAAACATTACATTTATTAGGACGTTTTACATTTTAAAGCAGTTTATTTTTTCTCAGTCCTACTCAATGTACTCTGCGCACGAACGCTTACTGTTCACAAGGATTTACTGCTTGGGCAATATGGACACAAGCAAAAAATACTTTTTAAATAAGAAAATATTTAGAAAAAATTCATTCTGAAATATTGAAATGTATCTAATACTGAAGATATAGAGTGTCTTTTGGGATTTTAAAGGCAGGTTCCCTCTTCCCTAAGAGTATAAGGTAGAATACATTGTGTTTTGTTTTTTCCTTTTAAGACAAGGTTTCAGCTTTGGTATCTAGGTTGGCCTTGAACCCCCTGCCTCAAGTGATCCTCCTGCTTTCTTCTATCAAGTAACCAGGTTTATGCTCCAAATGTATGAGGAATTTAATTTAAACTAGCTGTCTACGTGATCACCAATCTAGAAGAGGCACATGACTCGGACCTGACATTTTATGCTTGCTTTTGGCTTGTGAAGAAATAAATTCAGAAGAGATTATAGTAGTCTTTCAAAATGGTCTACTTTTGATTATCATCTTAATGTAATGTTAAGGGTTTTTTTTTTGCCGGGGGGAGGACATTTTAAACATACTTAAGTTTACTAAATCTGATAATTCTTTTTAGTAATTTAAAATCATGATTATCCCTGCATGTACATTCCTTTAGTTAAAAATAACCTACAAATTTTATTATGGAGCCCTTTCTTCCTTACAAGTCAGTAAGATTAATATATATTTTCAAGACTATAAATTCTTGAAAAAAAATCAACATTGATTTAAACATGCTTTTGAGTGTGGTTGAATCTCATATTACAGGCAAGCTTTCAGCAGGCAAGTGCCTTCCCTTTGATATGTATGGTATGGATGCATTTTACTTTTGACTTTGACACAAGGACTATGTATCTGGCATACGTACATTTTGTTCTCCCATCCCCAACATATTCTTTAATTAGACATACAGCATAGATCTAGGATTATAGGAAAAACATTTTCTATATAGGCATAATGAGAAAAGTATAATTTCCTTGTTAAGAATTTTAAATCATTGTATGTGAAAGGAATATTAAAGATGAAGATTATTATGAACTTTGATGTAAATTGTTTAAAGAAGTTCTCAGTTTACATCTTTAGGCGCTAGTCAGCCTTTGAGATCTCCCTGGGAACCACCAGGGGAATTTGAATGAAGCTAGCACTGTCAAATCTTAACAGATAAATCCCTGGAGGTGTGAGGGAGTGGGGCTGATAGTAAATTTAAGTTGGTCTCTTAGGGAGCTTTAGGCTTCTCTTGTTCTAAAAAAAAAAAAAAAAGTCTTATCAAACCAGAGCTCTTTAAAAGTATACAGAGAAAAGTCTAGAGTCCCCTAGGTAGTGAGAACCAAGATAGCAGTTCAAAGAACTGAACTGATAATCTGCCTGGATCAGGGAAGTTCCACGGAGCATTGTGATTTACTGACTGAGAAGCAGAAGGGAACAAGAGGTGTATTTGCTGTCTGTTGGTTGATTTTAAGTCTATGATGAACATTTTATCCTTTCATTTTGGCTTAGGTCATACTTCGTATGAAGTTCTTTTTCAGTGGAGCAAAAACTGGGATATCTGCTGAACAGCTCTGTTGGTCCTAGCAGAAACCTATGCTATATTCTGGAAAGAATGTTGTCTTTGCCTAAGAGTCAGTGGGATGCCCTATGAGAATACAAGCTAGGATACTCTAGTTTTCGAAGAGGAGTGTTGGCTTTGCCATTTGCCTTATGCTTCCTGCCATGATGATCATTCAATATTAATTTTTGAAGATTTATTTAATTTTGTGGATGTGAGAGTTTTGCCTGCATGTATGTATGTGTGTGCACCATGTGTAGAACTGGTACTCATGAGGATCATCTGGAACTGGAATCATGGGTGCTTGTAAGCAAAAAGAGCTCTTAACCACTGAGTCATCTCTCCATCCCTCAATGTTAAATTCCTGGCTTGTTTGCATTCTTTCAAAAGTATTGGTATTGTAAATGTGAGCATCTCTAGAGAGAATAATCTCTGCCCACTCTTCTAGACATTTTGTTTTATGCCTGTCAAGACAGTCATTGTCAAAGAATGTGCGGACTACATTGTTTTTCCATAGAAATATTTTTATAGCAACAGACATCTTGTTAAAGTTATCCAGGCTGGCCTTGAACTCACTATGTATCTTAGGCTGCTCTGAGACTCATAATCCTCCTGCCCCAGCTCTGAGTGCTGGGATTGCAAATGTGCACCACCATACAGGCATATAACATGAAAATGTTTTTTTTTTAAGAATACTAAAGTCTAATTTTAAAATGAAATAGATATCTGTCAATGAAGACATTGGCTATCTTGTTGAATTTATCAGAAGATACAGTTATTTATCCTACAATTACTTGTCATTTATTATGTCAAGTTAGCTACTCTATATGATATTTCTGGTAAAAATTGTTCCTCTTTATTTTGTAAAATATTCTCCCTCTTCTCTTGCTGACTGAAAACTTCTATTTAGTCCTCAACCGTGATACTAGCCTACATTTCTGATTTCAGTTATCAATCAGCTCCCCAATACAAAGCTATTGTCATCATTTTAAACATACCATTTTGTGTGAGCTGTGGATTGAACCCAGGGCCTCTAACATGCTAAGCATATAGTGGACCATATAGTGTATAGTATACACATCTTTTAAAGTAAGTGTTCTCTAATATGCATACAAACACAGTAAACTGTCTAAATAGTTTAGGAAAATAATGTGAAATAGGAGTTAACTCTGAAGATTGTGTGTGTGTGTGTGTGTGTGTGTGTGTGTACTGCCTTACAATTATGTTCTCTGCAGATATCACCCAAGAATCATGTAGCAGAAGCAAGTCCTTTGGCATAGCTCTTTTAACTTAACATTCTGCCTTCTTCCTAATATTTTAATCATCCAAAATTAAATAATCTTATATATTTCATAAGAAACAACACATTAGTAAAAGAGGACAAGATAAAATCAATTTTTAGCTGTTCACATGACTTTCAAATTATA